TCTCCACTTTGTCTTCCCTCTTGGTTTTTCTTTCTTTTAGCATTTCTTATTTTACTATATAAAACTGAGAACATACAAGATGAATAAAAATCACCTGTAATCTTACTATCCAGAGATAACCACTATTAATAATGTTGTCTCTTTATGCATACTTTTTTAAAAATAAAAATTTTATAATATGTCATGCACATCTTTCCATGTAATTAAATGTTTAAAAAATACTTCAGAGTTTCTCTATAGGTCTAGCAATTTAATACTAATAACTAACATTTCTATATCCACTTACTATGTGCCTGGCTTTATGTATATTTACATATACATATACGTGAAAGTATATTCATGCGTACTATATAACTACAATATGTATGTATACTTATAAGCTATAATATTCATACATGTCAACTAATTTGATGCTCACAACCTTATGAGGTAGATATTATTGTCCCCTTTCTACAGACAAGAAAACCAAGGCACAGAGAGTTGCCTTGCCCCGGTCACATAGCAGAGTTAAAATTTGAACCCAGGCAATCTGGCTCCAAAGTGTGTCCTCCCAAGTGCTAAGGTATTCCATTGGGATTTCGCAGTCCACAACAGTTAAACATTTCATTTATCTCCTTCCTCCTCACTTCTAATTTATGTTATTTTGCCATATTTTAAGTACCCTTGTAAGTCACCTGAAATCCTCTCTGCCACAAGGCAAGGCATAAATAAACAGTGCAGAGAGTGGTAAACGGCACAAGACTGTAAAGCTGAAGTGCTGCCCCAGGAGAGAAGCCAAATCCAGGCTGTCCGCAATGAAATGGATTTCTTTCCTCGAGATGTGGTGAGCTCCCATCCCTGGAAGAGCTGGCTTGGGAGGCTGTGGAAGACCTTCCAAGGAGACTGAGTTGGGCCACAGGAGCCCTGAGGCCCCTTCTTAGATTATCAGGGTTTATGAAAATACCAATAAAACAAAAGGAAGCACCTAATGGAATTAACGCAGCAAGGCAGCAGCTGGGCCTGAACCATGACCTGGGACTCTCCATCCAGGTCTATTACTAGATCACACATTTAAAGTAACAAATAAACCAACAAAAATTCAGTTCCCAATTCTCAGAGCATTTATTCTTTTCCCAAAGCTCTTGGGCTGCTGTCGCAAGATGGCCAAAGGATACTGTCACTGTCCTCAGTCCTTTTGCTAGAGTGACAGAGAACACGACAAGAAGGCGAAGCTGGCCAGCTTGGAGGATGGCCCATGAGCCTGTAATTGGGTAGGCTTTGCCATTTGACAAATGTGATGGAGAAGGAGCCGAGTTTCCTAATCCTGGACTGAATGTTTATTAGCTGGGAGAACTTGGGCAAGTTTCCTTAACTCCTGAGACCTCAGTTTCCTCATCTGCAAAATGGAGTTAATACCTACTTAGCAAAGCTGTTGTGGGATCCCATGAGATAGTATAGGGTATCGCATTCTTAAAAACGCGAGCAAGGAAGTACTGATAAAGCTGTTTCAGGGGATTTGGGAAGGGCTCGGCTGTCCCCACGCTTAAGGCCCGGCAGACCCGTCTGCAAGAAGTGTTGGCAGTGCCCAGGTGCTGCCTGGCCTCTTACCTCTTCAGCCTCCTGCCCACCACAGCTCCCCTGTCATGAAAGAAGCCGCATTCACGGTGACAACCATGGTGGCGCCGGACCCAGGGGCTTCGGGCTGGAGTAGGGAGCAGGCAGAGGTCACATCCTCCTCCTCTACCACAAGACCCCGGGCTGCGTGCCCACAGGGGCAAGGCCCTGTGCGCAATGCCATCAGGACCAGCTGGCTGGGTTAGAAGAAGGCCCGACCTCTACGCAGCAAAGAAAACAAACACAGATGTGTTTAGCTGGGACCTGGAGGGAGAAGATCGTCCCCTCCCCCCGCCTG